TCAGCAAATGTTCAAGCTCATACGAATAGTCCACTCCGTGTTTACAACTACATTGAAACCTCTACTTTATCCCTCGGTCTCCTAAGATGGACAAGAATTCCTGCCAGCGATCGCAGCGGGGGGCGGGGGATTTTGAGTATTCAGTCTTCACAGCTGGTAGCAGGTTCTATCTCTGCTTTTGCATAGTTTGACTTTTCTTCATTTTTTCTATAAGGCGATCACAAATTTTGTTTGTATACGGTGGCTTGTTTTGTTTTTATATGGTCGTCGCGTCAGGTTGCACCGTATATGTAGCAATGACCAGGTTTCTTCCATTTTTTAGGGTGAACACGTTCAGTTGTGTTAAGCTGCCATTTCGTTTATCCCATTTTATCTTCGGTTGCGAAGCGTTAGGCATTCTTTCCCCTATCATAGGCTATTTACAAAGAGATTCCTGCAGTGACAGGGGACACAGTGCAGTTATCTCTTCCAAGCACTGGTTTCATGTTCCTGTCTTATACGGCGTCATAAGTGGTATTGTAGTTTTACTTCTTAGTTTTTTGAGCTACCTCCCATCATCGTTGTGATATTTCCATTACACATGTTGTGCCGCTCTTGTTAGGATATTGGAGCAAAGGCCAGCGTGCAGTGACTCACACCTGTCAATCCACCAACGCCACCGTGCCTGGGGGAGGCCCAGGATAGGCCTCTGAGTTTAGGGAGTTCAAAGACCAGCCCGCTGGCAATACAAAGAAAGACCATCTTCAATAACAACATACAAAGTGGTACAACACATACCACACATAAATATAAAGAAAACTCTATATGAGACACCCAGGGGATGAGGAGGAACTGCAGGATTAATAAACGAACTAGCAACAACACACAAACAAACAGACTACGAACCCTTCTCAACAAAAAAAGCTCAAAGAGGCTCATGAGCCTTAATTACTGAAGCTTTTTTCGTCACCAGTTATTAGGTACAGACACTGTTCCAACACATTGAATGCATAACTCAGAACTGTTGACACTGGGTACTCAAATCATCATCCATACTTTGTGTGACTCGAACATAGAGCGCAGCAGAGGTATGAAAAGCTTTCCCAAGGCCAGTAGTAATGAGAGGTGAATTCACATCCAGAGAGATGGTGACTTTAGAGTTCAGGACCGGAACCACCACCTACTGCTCTCACCCTACATGCCAGTAAACAGCAAGGACCTGCACTCTCCCCTCCCTCCTTGATAGTCTTGAGCCACCTTGAGGCAGCAATCCTACTGCCCTTTCCTTCCTGCTCGGCTAAGTTAGCCATCCTAGATGTCTTCCTTCCATTCTTCATGATGATTTCCAGACACTCGTCTATCGCGCGCGCGCGCGTGCGCATTTTGTCCCTCTAAAATATCGGGGTTGTTCATGGTGGGCAGGTGTGTATTACACAGCTACCTTAAAAACCAAACGGAACTGAGAGGCTCACAAGAAGAGGGTTGATGAATCCCAAGTTCCTGAGAAAGAACATAATCTGCTAACACGCATAACTACCAGAGCGCATGGCTTACCCGCCTGTAATTCAGCATTTTGGGGGCGCGAGGTAGCAACTCACTTGAAGCCAGGAACTCCAAGACCAGCCTGGCCAACCACTGGTGAAACCCTGTCTTACTAAAAATACGCAAACAAAATTATCGAGCGTGGTGATGCAGCCAGAATCCCAGCTACTCTGGAGGTGGAGGCAGGAGAATCACTTGAACAGGGAGGTGGAGATTTCTGTGAGCCCAGCATCACACACTGTACTCCCAGCCTGGGAGTGCAGAGGAGACTGACTCGAAAAACAAAAAAAAATAAAAAAAAAAGAGCGCGGCGTAGCTTACGCTCAGCCACCTGTTATCCAGCACTTTGGGGAGACTGAAGAGTGGAATCAGCTGAGGTTCAGGAGTTTGAGACCACCTGGACCAACATGAACAAACGCCATCTCACTAAAGGAACAAAAATTAGCGCGGGCATGGTGGCCGAGTGCGCCTGTAAGTCCCAGCTACTCTCTGGCGAGGCCTGAGGCAGAGAATTGCGTTGAACCTGGGGGATGGAGGTTTACAGTCGAGCTGCAGATTGCGTCATCTGCACTCCAGCCTGGCCAACCAAGCCAGACTTCCATCTAGAGGCAAAACAAGCAAAAACATAAATGGAAAGCCCCATGTCCAGGACGGCTGTGCGAGAGAGATGGGTCGACCCGCCTGTGGCGCGCGACGGGCCGCCCCCAGCCATCACCGCATTTCCCCAGGCTCTATACAATACCGGAGTCGGACATCGGGTGGGGTGTGCTCTAGTGCCCCAGCTACTGGGAGGGCGCAGGTGGAAGAAGCACCTGGACCCAGGACTTTCAAGCTCGCAGTGAGGCCTATGAAACGCAATGCACTAACCTGTATCTTAAGAAAGCACAACAAGCAAATATACACTTTGACAGAGAAGGATATTTTGTAGGCGCAATTAAAATCAACCCCCCAGGAAAACAGCAAGAATGCTTATGCAAATCTGCCCTAAGGGCAGGATTTATGGTAAGGATTGTTTTGAACCTAGGACAGGATTTACAGTAACAATAGATAAAGTAAGGGCTGTGTTGGTGGCTCATGCCTGTAATACCCAGCGCCTTTGGGAGGCCCAGGGTGGCGCGATCAGGGAGGTCAAGTGATCGAGACCATCCTGGCCAACATAGTGAAACCCCGTCTCTACTACAAATACAAAAATTAGCTGGGCGTGGTGGTGAGCGCCGATAGTCCCAGCTTTCGCGGGAGGTTGAAGCAGAGAATTGCTTGAAACTCGGGAGTGGAGGCTTGCAGTGAGCTGAAGATGACACTACTACACTCCAGCCGGGCATAGAGTGGAGACTGTCTCAAAAAAAAAAAAAAAAAAAAAATAGATTAAGTAGAAATCTTGAGGTATCTGGGAACCAAAGGTTAATCAGAGGTCCAATATGGTGGTCAAACACAGAAGAAAAGGAAAAAATACAACAACAACAACAAAAAAAAGAAGTCAATATGCTGGGCCAGGCGCTGTGGCTTATGCCGGTGACCCTACACTTTGGGAGGCCGAGGCAGTGGGACTGCTTGAGCCCAGGAGTTCGAAACACACCCTGGCGCAACATGGTAAAACCTGCTGCTCTACCATAAAAATACAAAAAATCAGCTGGGAGTGGTGGCTGTGCACTTGTAATCCAGCTACTCGGGAGGCTGAGGCATGATAAAACAGGGAGAAGGTTGCAGTGAGCTGAGATCTCGCACTGCCCTCTCCAGCTGCCTGGGCAGCAGAGACAGGCCGCTCAAAAAAAAAAAAAAAAAAAGTCAATATGGTGGATTAGCATCCAACATGGGGTTGCTTCAGTCCCCATAGGGTCCAAGACAGTCCGTAGTCCTGAGGGTGTGGCCTGACTAGAGCAGAGTGCGGTGGGACGGTGACTTTTTTGGTCTGGACATGCTGTGTATGCATTATGTGCAGCCCTACAGGTGAAGTGGGTGCCTAGTTATGTGGATGCTGGTGAGCTGCTGTCGAGTATCTGGAAATAACCTCCTTTTCCCTCATTTCAGGTGCCGGAAATCATCCAGTACATTTACTACCACATGAACAGCATTACAGAAACCACAGCCCAAAAAACCATTAAGAATATCCTGTATTTGCTGTCCCAGTACTACACTGATGAAGTTATCCTGACACTATTGAAAATAGAAGATCAGTCACAAAAGTAGGTGACTTTCGATCCCATAAGTACATGCCCCCAGTAGTCTATTTGCTATTTGTTAATCTTCTTAAAACATATTCAGGACGGGCCACAAGTGGCTCACTTCTGTAATCCCACCAGTTTGGGGGCCCAGGTGGGCAGATCACCTGGGAGTCAGGAGTTCGAGACTAGCCTGGCCAACATTGGTGAAATCCCATCTCTACTAAAAATGCAAAAAATTAGCTGGGCGTGGTGGCAGGTGCCTGTAATCCCAGCTGTTTAGGAGGCTGAGTCAAGAGAATCCACTTGAATTTGCGAGGAAGAGGTTGCAGCGAGCCAAGATCGCGCCATTGCACTCCAGCCTGGGCAACAAGAAGGGAAACTCTGTCTCAAAAAAAAAAAAAAAAAAGTCGCAGCTGGGCACAGTGGCTCACGCCTATAATTTCAGCACTTTGGGAGGCTGAGGCGGGTGATCATCTAGGGTCAGGAGTTCGAGACCATCCTGGCCAACATGGTGAAACCCGGCTCTTACTAAAAAT